GGTTTCACCTGTACGGTCGGTCTGATTATGAAGGTTAGCACCATGGTAGATGAAGTCATTGATCACATTGGCAGAAGCGTCCTCCTCTTCCTCACTGTTGCCTGTTTCTAAACCTCCCCCACTGCAGGATGCAATCATCAGGGGTGTGAATCCATCTGGACCAAGAGGACAAGAAGGAGGATATATTTTTAGGTGTATGAAAGAAAACGGCCTGAATGGTCAGTACAAAACTAGTATCTGCTACAAAAAAGAGAGGAGCATGCACTTCAAAGTATCTGACAGATCAGTAAAAGGCAACAAACAAATCGAATTTGACATTTTTGCTTGGGTTGAATCATCACAGCTCTTTCTTTTCAATAATGGATTCTGATCAAGATCAGCGCAGGAGAAGCTTCAGAAGGAGAGCGAAGCTAGGGGGCTAGAGACCAGGCCTTGCTAAAGCTAGGCTGCTGCAAAAACGAAGCATTAATGTCTAACTGAGAGGCAGCTCAGTCAGTCGACTTGGATAGGTTTTCTCCTCTTCAAAAGGATAGCAAGCCCCAGATCTGGCAGATTTGGTCGATTCAAGTGCATTGATCCACGACAGGGGGAAAAAGTGTGCTCTCAAGTCGTTAACCCTGTTACTTTGATTTTTCATAGCCTTTATTCAGGGAATTTGGCACTTACTACAAAATTGTGTATTTGCATTTGATGCCTTCATTGTAATGGGGAATAGAAAAAACTGAACCTTATTAGTGGTCAAATGATTAATCTGATCAGGTATGAGTGTTTTCCCCCCAGGCGCCGGGCTTCCAGCTGCCTGCTTTGAAGAAGATCCTTTACCCTGAGGACACAGGGCTTTGGCAACTCCTACATGCGCGATTACACACACATATGCACATTAATCTTATTATAACTGTGAGGACACTCAGCGAAATAGTGCATTTCTTAGCCTCTTACACTAACCTTAACCATCACAACTAGATGTCCAGTGTACATTTGTACAATTGTATATAAATCCAGTTTTTTTGTTGCTACTATCAATTTGTATTTGGCTGCTGTAACAACTTAATTTCCCTGTACAGAATAATAAATGACTCCGTCTCTCTCTTTCTATCCAGCCCTGCCCCTAACCTAAACCTAAATCTAACCTTACACCCTAAAACTAATTTTAACCCTCAAACAGCCCTCTAACGGTGTGAGGACCAGCCAAAATATCTACTTCAACCCTTGTCACAAGTTATGGTACCAATATGTTAACTTGTGATCAGTTTTGCTACTTGATCCTTTTCAGAATGTTTCACATGAATCATTTTCATTCTGAAAAGAGGAAACCATCTGATATTTCATAATAAAGCAAGAATTTAAAGGAAATGTAGAACAAATAAAGCAAATTTTGTGTATCAAAAATATGTACTATAATTATTTTTTCATACCTTTAATTTAATCTTGAGTTTCTTGAATGATTCAATGATTTTTTCCCACACAATTACAGAAGACTTTTGCTGACTTGTTTTTTATAAAGACAACCAAGTAATTCAGAATAAAAATGAGATCCACATCCACTGGTACTTTAACTTTTTTAAAATGTGAGTAAGTCAATAACGCACCTGGACCCTTGACATCCATGCAGTCACTCTCAATCTCGCCCTGTGGGGGTGTAGGAGCAATGGAGGGGATGCGCAGGTCAGCGGCATCCAGGTGCTGCTGCGTCCACTGCCGGTGGTCTGTCTGGTTGTCCACATCTAATATAGCCTGCTCATCAAACTGCTAAAGCAGGGACAGTGAGAGGTTGGACCACTGAAACTGAGCATGAATGCTCAACTCAAATCATAATATAACAAAAATGCATTTAACTAAATTTTAAATAGATGATAAAATTGCTAAAAATGAAGATTATTCAAAAATAAAAATACACAATATGATATGCTGGCAACGTTTAAAATTCCAGAAGTTGTATTTTAAGGAAACTGTTGCTCAAGTTGTAAGAACAAATCCTAAATCCTTATAAGCTCTGTTGGCATGTAATATTTCTGTTGCCTTACCCTGAAGCGTTTAGCATCCGAAGGCTCATCTTCTCCCCATTCATTCTGGGTGTCATCCATGAGTGAAATGTCTGAGGTGTTTTTCAGTGGCCTGTGATGAAGCACAAAACCCAGTAAAAATCTCTACTGCTTCCATCTCATCCAAATCACTCCCCAAGTAAAATCAACGATTAAATCCATACCCCACACCTCTGCCCTAGTCAGTTAATGCACACCTATACTATATTATCATTAGTGATCCAGGCAAAACCACCCTTTCCCAAATTTGGGAAAGGGCGGCCACACCGCATCAGTTACACCCATTTTGTCCTTGAAAATTAGTCCTTCACCTGACCCTCAAAGAAACAGGCACCCGATGACACAGAGCGCCACTGGCAAACAAACAGAAACTTACTTTAATCTGACTGAATCCTCTCCGACAGGCTCACGTCTCTTCTTCTTGCTGGATTCTGTGGTTTTGAAGCCTTCGGGGAGCCAGAGGCGCCCATGCTCATGGCGCCGCTTTCGGGCAGCCACCATCCCCACTCCAAGGAAGACCAGTATCCCTATGCCGCCCAGGACCAAATAGATAGTGTAGAAGTCCTGTGGAGGCTTGGGGTCCACACCGCCTGGTAGGAAAAAGGACAACATGTTCAAGAATAGACGCAAATCAGTAGGATAGACCCAGGATCAGTCTGAGTGCTGGAGTTGAGCTAGTCCAGCTCTTCTTGGCTCCCACTCCAAAACACACCGCAACCAGCAGCAACTGCCTGATGATGCTCACCGTTTGTAAAGCTAGCTTCTACTATCTATTCAGTGATAATCAGAATTGGTAACTACTTTTCATCAAAAAAAAAAAAAAAGGATGGGGTGTGATAAAAAAAGAAAGAGGGGAGGAAAAGAACACCACCACCTCCTCTCTCACTTTTCAACCCAGGGTATCAAGAGACAACTTTACCATTTCTTCTTTAAGAGAAAAAAAGGAGGGGGATTAATGAACTTCAAATTACTGCACGCGCTTTAAGCTGTAAAGACGAAGGATTTATTAGGATTTTCACGATAACAAAGACTCCCAACTTCTAGCACACTCCCGATCAATTTTTACCCTTCTCTTTTTTTTTCACTAACGATTTTGAAATGATAAACTCCCCCAACCTAAACCCTTAGAGATGCATTAAGTCCTGGTATTACATTCAGCGAGGTGAAGGTTGCAGCAGCCCCTCACGCTGTGGGATGAAGTGTGTGTGCGTGTATGTGTGTGTTATCTGTGGACGTATACGTGTACATGTCTGAGAAAGACAGAGACAGAGATGGCGAGTGTTATGTTGTGTGAGTAGGGGGTTGGATGAGTTGATTTGCAGCAATTAACCATTTTGGAGCCTGAAGCCAGTGGACTTAGACACTGAGGGGAGGATTGATTGTTTAGGCCATGAGATTCACAAATGCATTTGTTCACTGCTGCATAATAAATACACAATCAAAAGGGTGCTAGGGCTGGGACCTGACTGCATGGTGGATACCTTCAGTTCGAGTGTGGGCATGAAAGAACACGTGTCTAATACACATATGTTTGAATATGAATGTGTAGCCATATATGTTAACCATAACAGTAGTTTTGCATGCATTAACCTGTTTACTGCAAATCACATTTATTTTACAACATAATTACTATGCAACCGCATTCTGACTGTACATTTTATATACTTAGACTAATAAATTGTTGGTTTTTTTGTCTCTCAGTAGTTTGTCATTTCACTTCCTTCTCTGTGACACCAAAGTCTATTTGTTCCTACTGAAGATTCTCGCAAAGAGGATATAATGCAATTTTTATAGAAGGGCAAAATGTAATAGGGTTTACAACACAGACAAATAAGATGTATCAGGCTCTGGTTCTTTAGTAGGATCAACTCACTGTTAGTTTTGGGGTTTTCTTAGGATTTGATGACAATAAAAAATATAGAATATGAACAAACTTTTCACTTTTCATGGGCTAAACCGTCTGCCTCTCACCCAGGCTTATAGAGGACTGGTAGAGAGCATCCTCACTATTGGCATCACGGTCTGAACACCACACAGGCAGAGAGGAAGGCTCCTCAAAGGGTCATAAAGACTGCAGAGAGGATCACTGGGACTGAACTGCCTGCTACGGGCACAATATACACACACAGGGCTGTCGTAACAGGGCAGAAAACATTATCAGAGATCCATGCCACCCAGCTCACTCTCTGCTCAGACACAAAAACTGCACCTACAGCCTCAGGCACAGCAGGGCGGACAGTATCATCACACACAGAACTAGACTTTACAACAGCTTTTTCCCTGCCGCAGTAAGACTGATGGCAAATACGAAAATGTGAGAAATGTGAGAATATATGCACAGTGACCCCTCAGTACCTCACCAAACGTAATGACATATCCAGCTCTACCATGTGAATTACTAAGTGTGATGTTTGAAGTTCACTGTGTGAAATACTATTACCATATTTTTGTGTATTGTGTTTTAATACTTTGTCGCCCTTATGTAACTTTTTATTCTAAGACTAAGTGTTCTTTCTGGCTTTTGGCTCCTTACCTGACTCCAAAGGAGAGCTGCACAAAAATTCCTATATGCCTAGACTGTCTGTTTATACATAAATGGCAAACAAAAATCTTGAATCTTCATTTAAGTGTAGAATGATTTGAAAAGCCTAGACTGACTTCACCCTTACTGTGATGAATTACACATTTAAGAAAGGTTTCCGGAGTCTGCTAACTGATTTTCAGAAATGATTAGAAACCAACAACTGTCTCTGATTATGTAGAACACTGATTTGTAGTTATGGTGCAGGAACCTGCAAACACACTGCAATCATCCTTTGGCTCTCTGAAATATTCATACTCATTTGGGTTGTAGTGTAAGGTAAGCATAGACATTTTCTTATTTGTTTAGAATCTAATAAGGTATACTTACTAAAAACAGCTTCAATGGTGTAAGGAACATCCAATTTGCCACTGGAGGCCAAAGCTCCGAGGAAGGCTGCGGCATCATCTGCGTTCTGGAAACACTCAGTGGACTGCTGGAAGCACTGACGGTTGTCCACCTCCATGTGGACAATTGAGCTGAAGAGGGAGGAAAGACAGCAGCACATCCAGGGGTCATTTTAAGCCAAAGACTAAGCAAATAAAGTCCATGCTTTATCTTAAGACTTCACCAAAAATGAAAGGAGCATTTCTGAATAATCTTCCTAACCCTTTTATCTGCAGGTGATCCAGTTCTCTCCTAGTCCTCCTCCTCCCCCCTCCCACCTCACGCAGACTCCTCTTCACCATGTTCAGCACCTTTCCAGGAACCTCTGACCACGTGTCCACAGAGCGCTTGACATTGTACTTTTTCAGTTCATGTTCATTCCCATAGTACGGGTATATCATCACCTCCCCCTTGGCGTTCTTCCTGAATACCACATTGGTTCGAAGGACACGACTCAACTCACGCAGGAAGCCAAAGGAGTTGTTGAGTAGCTGCTCAGGGGTGATGTGGACCACAAGGACCAACTGGCCCAGTGCAAGCTTCTCAGGCATGTTATTGGCACAGTCCAAGCCATCCCACTCGCACTCAGCATTGTTGCAGCCTTGGTCGCAATGGCCATCGGCATAGTGGTCCTTGCAGTACTGGTCATAGAGAGGGCTGAAGAAAGACGGCAGAAGTTAGGGGTATTGCAATTTGGATGGCAACTTCATTATGTTAAGTGTTTCCTTACTGCATGAAGCATGATTATATGATCTGAAGCTTAAGAAGATAAACACAATTTAGATTTACACAAATATATTTGTATATTTTGAGTCACAAAATAACATTTCTATAGTAACTGGCTTCAGTCATTTTACATGCTGCAAGATGATACAGGTATGCACTACAGTTGTAATAATTATTACAAATATTGAAGAGACAAAATTATGCATTGTCCAAACAACGTAAAATCCTGGACTAGAAAAATACATACCTGGTACCTTAAGGAAAAAAAAGGATTTTTAGGTGGTTAACAAGGAACCATGCTAAATTTCCATTTGATTTAAAAACAAAAACAATTTAAACATCTGTTTTTATTTTGTATATCTTGTCTCTGTTACAAGATGTTCTTAGTGCCTTCTAATCTGAAGCATGCAAGGTAAGATCAATACATTTCAAGAAATTTAACTGAATGATTTATATACTGATTTGACCCTTGTTGCCCTGTGATAGACTGGCGATCTGTCCAGGGTAGACTCTGCCTCTTGCCCAGTGTAAGCTGGGATTGGCTCCAGCCCCTAGCCATCCTATTCAGGAATAAGCGGTAAAGATAATGGATGGATTTGACCCTTGTTTAATTTATTAGAGAGGCCACTTACTTGCACTGTCCTTCCAGGTTTTGGCAGTCAAACCCATCGTAGAGGCATCCAGCATTATCACACTGTGAATCACATTTTCCATTGTTGAAGTATCTCCAGCACTGAAGTGAGGCCGAGCAGTTTTTCCACGGATCGTTGAAGTTGAGTGAGCAGTCACCGTTATCCCAACCGCACGCATGATTGTTACAAAGCACATCACAGTACTTGTTGTGCTTACGCTCCTCACATTGCGGGATCTCACAAGTCACCTCCACGTCCGAGGGTGGCGGGATGTTGCAGCCGATTCCTCCCGGAAAGCTGTAATCCAAGATGTGGCAGCGGAGACCATTGAAATTTGTGGGGCAGATACAGTGGTAGTACGGTGCCTCTGAGGTGTATTCACATGTTCCTTTGTTGTAGCAGGGGTTTGAATTGCAGGGGTTGTCAGTGGGATACTGGCACTCTGGCCCAGTGAATGACGGGGTGCACAAGCACTTGGGAGTCTTGTGGCCAGAGATGCAGGTGCCTCCATTGTGACAGTGAAGACTGCCGCAGGCCTGGGCATCATATTCACATGTGGAGCCAGTAAATCCCTGTAAGAGGAGGACAAGAAATAAGAGAAAATGGAAAATTATTTGTATTCCTTTATACAAATCTCTAGGTGAAAATCTTAATTTGCCTCCAGGTTTACTAGCAGCAGGCATGGCACACAGTGGTTAGCACTGTCACCTCACAGCAAGTAGGTCCTGACTTAAAACCCAACTAGACTGGCTGCATGTTTTTGCCATATCTCTTTCAAATTCCTCTGAGTGCTGCCATTTCCTCCCAGTCTATAAACATGCAGTTAAGGTGAACTGCAAACTATACAAATTGTCTGTAGGCATGAATGACAGTTTGCAGGTTTTTGTCTTTCTGTGTGTGTGTGTGTGTGTGTGTGTGTGTGTGTGTGTGGGAGCATGCGGGTGCTCACAGGAGGACATTTGCAGATGAAGCCATGTGGCGTGTTACTGGCTACAGCACAGGTTCCTCCATTACGACACGGTTTACCCTTACAGCCATCAAACACCATGTCACAGTGTTGACCTATGACAGACACACACAAAAAAAAGGTTAATCGTAGTATAATTTATAAAGTATATCCTCCTGTTTCCCATTAGGATTTCAATTCACATCAAGTTTACTTTCATAACCAAAATCACATACAAAATCTTTTAAAACTGGACCAATAAAACATGTCATGTTGGCGTATTGCACCCATATAGGAAATGCCAGTACAAAACAAGACATTAGTAATAAAATGTCAATACAAAAATACATGGGATGTGACTTAGAAACAATGCCTCTATTGTAGCACTAACAAATGTATTTTTAATTATTAAAAAATGAAGTTAAAAGATTCTTTCTCTAAAAGCTTATATTATGTGTTGATATATAAATGATCTTTTAAAACTCTCAAATAGCAAATCCATATTGGCTTAAAAAATCCAATATGATTGGGCTGTAGTGTCTATGCTGGCCTATAAAAGCAGGGTTTTCTGACTAAGATGAAACTCTCCAAGAAGACATGAGAAACTGGGACTAACCTGAATCATAAGCATATAAACAGGTAGACACATTTCCCCCTCCTTCTCTATCTCTGACCTCTGACCTCAAGCTGTTTACCTGTGTATCCAGCACGACACTCGCAGCTGTAGTTGTTGGTGAGTTGGATGCAGCTGTGCGTGCCCCGCGGGTCACAGGGGTTGGACAGACACTCATTGACGTCTCCCTCGCAGCGCTCCCCTACGTATCCTGCAGGGCAGATGCAGTGGTACCCGCCAACTCGATCCACACATGTCCCTTTGTTGAAACACTTTGGCTCTTTGGTGACTGGGTCCATGAAGGGGTTGCAGTCATCAATATTGATCTCGCAGTGCACACCTGGGGATGAGTGTCAGGGAAATGTTTACTTACTTAGAAAGCAATCCCAAGGGGAAATCTTGCTGTTATATACTTTGGCAACATAATCTGAGATCTGTGAAGATAATCCCAATATACAATATTCACAATATCCTTAGTTGGTATAACAATTTTGCTTCAATCTGCCTCATCTTCTTCAACACAGTAAATTCACAGAGTGACAACAGTCCTCTGATAAGATGTACACACACAGCAAAGTTTCATACTAAAAAGTTCAGATATGTTTTTAAATTTACTGAGCAGTACAAATTCTCAGAGACAAAAAATGAAAACAATAAGCCTTAAAATTATGAGTCTAAAAAACTATTTCATGTCAAAGCCTCTGACATTTATCTATTGTCTTCATCCAACAACATTTCCATATTTCCAACAACATGCTGGCTTTTGAGTTGGTATCCACCCAATTCCACTGGCAGTTCAGACTGACCTACACACACTCCATGTCTGAGAGAAAAATCGATGCCGCATTTGACAAGTAGAGGAAGGGATGGAGGTGAGACGGGAGGAGGAGTCTTTAGACATGCCCTGGGTCCTGTTAAGCCCTAATTAATGAAGCATGGAGACAAGGAGGAGGGAGTGGAGAGGCAGAGTGCTGTGGAGGTACATGTGTGTGGGGTCTGCTGACCTTGGGTTCCCCGGGGGCAGGAGCATTTGTAGGTATTGATCAGGTCAATGCAGGTGCCCCCGTTCTGGCACGGCTGGGAGAAGCATTCATTGATCTCATCAGAGCAGTTGGTCCCCACGTATCCTGGCATGCACTGAGACAGAAGAGGAAGCCAGGAAAGAGGAAGGAGAGGAGGACAGAGGGAGAGTTTAATCAATGTCTGAATGAAACAAAGATGGTTTTTGTTTACCTGGCTGCTTTCTGGCCTCCATGCTGCCAAGGCCAGCAGATCCTTTATTCAAGGGAAGATTAACATAACCAAGCTGCTGGTTTTCTACTTATAAACAGCCCTCCTCATTAGGACTGCCTAGTGCTTCCACTGAAGTGATGCCTGCTGTATGCCGAGGCACAAGGTTGGAGATTTTAACTTGTAAAGCAAAGTGTATAGTGGTAAAGTTAGTTAAATTATTAAGACAAAAATTCTAATTACTAAGCCCTTTTAAATGCTTTTAAAACTTAATTTGTAATTAAACTGAACATTAAACTAAAAAAAGCTGCATGACTGGACTAATTTTCACTGTAAAAAATGTCACCACACAATTCTATTTATTAAAACCTTTAAAAGTTACAATAAAAGACAAAATACCTTAACAACTTGTATTCAGACCTTCAGTCTGCAAATGTTTAGGAGCTATATGAACATGTATAAATGCAAGAAAACATCAAATAGGCTGAGATACAACTTCAATGGAAAACCACTGGGTGCAGGTTTCTTTAGGTTTCTTACCTTGCAGGTGTATCCGCCTAAAAAGTCAGTGCAGGTGGCCCCGTTCTGGCAGGGATTCGGGGTGCATTCGTCTACCTGCTCCTCACAGTAGCTCCCAGTATACCCGACCTGACAGTGGCAGTAGTGCACATTTCCTGCGTCCAGACACTGGCCCGAGTTATGGCACAGACTGGCAACATCGACTCCTGTGCAGAGAGGATGAGACAGATGGTGCTGCTGTTAGTGATGTCCTTAAACATTTTATTTCCTCTGGGGAGATTAGCTTAAATTTTTGCCAACGCACAAATTCACACTCACTGAACACTTAACATATGATACTGTGATTTTAATAGGCAATACACTTGTGCAGACATTTTTAAAGTTGACTGACACACACTCATAGGATTTTAAAACCCCTGTAGCGTCCCCCGTACCTCTCTGTTTGGCTGCCACCTCACAGGAAACACTGGGGACATCACAGTAAAGGCCTGTCCAGCCAGTCTCACACTCACAGCTGTAGGTGGTGTTTCTCTGCCAGCAGGTTCCCCCATTCTTACAAGGTGACGAGTCGCACCAACGAACCAAGTCCTGAAAGAAGCGAAAACATGTTGGATGCAATAGCCACTGATTGGGTGCTGACTGTGCATACAGTACGGGCCTGATCCTAACCCTAACCAATTTGAATGTCCCAGTAAGCACTGCAGGTTAAAAGGTGTATAAATGTCTAGGTTAAAACTGAGCCAGTTTTTACATTTAAGCTTTCTGTGGCGGTGACCTGAACTAGGCCTATACTGCAGACAAACTCTCAGCCGCTAAACAGGACAGATGGACGTTGTAATTGCTGGTCATTTAGGTGATGAGAGGCCTGACAACTGAAGCAGATTGTCACATTGTACCTGACTCATCCGAAACTGAAGTGACCGTCATCCTTCATCTCCTCTTTCTGAGGGTGTCCTGTACCTACCTCTGCCTGTCTATGTTTTATGCTTTGATAGTAACTAAGATAAGGCAATAATTATATACGTTCTATGCTTAAATAAATGAATGTTTACATAAACATTTAAATGGGCTAGATGTTTAAATACCGGTTAGGCTAAGGACAGTGATTCCACGGTTGCCTAGCAATGATAGAAGATATAGTAAGCTGCTCTTTTTTAATGACACAAAAAAGCAGTGCGGTGCACCTCTGTCTGATCAGGGCCCAACTCATGCTGAAGCCCCTCTCCCTCCTCCTACCTGACATTTGAGTCCGGTGTAACCATGTGGGCAGGTACACTTGAAGGTGCCGTAGCTGTCCTGGCAGGTGCCACCGTTCTCACACGGTTTGGAGTCACACTCGTTGATGTCATGCTGGCAGTAGCTCCCAGTGAAGCCGGGTGGGCATAAACATGTGAAGGTGTTGATGCCGTCTACGCAGGTGCCACCATTGAAGCAAGAGCTGCAGAAAATAATGAAATACACCAAAATGAGTTGTAAAGTATTCTGCAGGAAGAAGAAAGGAGGAGAGCAAATCAATAAAACACTTATTATTTGAGCTGCCGCTGAATTCACCTCTGATCCTCTGATTTAGCCAGAGAAAGTTGCCTAAGAACAGCAATGTTTCCAGCAATGTTCTACTTTTTTTTTTTCAAACTTACAAGTTTGCCAGGTGAGAGCTCCATTCATGACGGTGAAGGAATTGAGCCTTGGCATTTAAGCAACACTACCATCACATTTCTAATTTAATGCACAGACTACTTAACCTGCATTGCTTATGGCAAAGCTGCAATATACTGTAGGAGACACTGATGTCAGCTGTTGTAAATCAATACTCCACCACTGGGGGCAGCAGGGGACAAGAAAACGTGGTCTACAAGTGGCTGCAACCTTTTGTTAGGAACAGATTCACACGATGACCAGTGTCCACCTATCTGTCTTATCTTTTAAAATAAAAGCAGATGGAAATGAATATGATATTCTGAGCTCTTCATACTTTGTGATGTGTGAGCTCTGTACCTCTCAGTGCAGTCAGGAGTGTTATTTTCACAGTGGATTCCACTGAAGCCGGACGGGCAGGTACAGGTGTAGCTGTTAACACAGTCGGTGCAGTTGGCTCCGTTCTTACACGGGTTGCTCTCACACTCGTTGATGTCCTCCTCACACTTTGTTCCTCTGAAGCCGGGCAGGCAGGTGCACAAGAAGCCGTTCACCTCGTCTTTGCAGAGCCCTCCATTACTGCAAGGATCTACAAGGACAGCATTCGACTCAGCTCAGTCATCTTTGTTATTACGCGCCAACAGAAAAGAAATAAACAGAGAAGAAGTGGAAAACTTACTAGGTTTGCAGTCATCGATGTTGGTTTCACAGTTGCGTCCAGTGAAGCCTGGTTTGCAGCCACAGTGGTAACTGCCCAAAGTGTTCTGGCAGGTTGCTCCATTGCGACATGGATTCTTCACACACTCTTTGATGTCCACCTCACAGGTTTGGCCTTACAGAGGAGGAAAACAGTAGCAAAATGTTCACCTTCTCTTTAAATGAGAAACAAGACAGTTGCATTTAGATGACAAAATATGGATAGCTTGCACTTAATTGTGCAACAGGAATGAAAGTAGGTTTATAGTAATACTAAGCATAAGTAAGAAACTAATGAAGTATAGTAAATGGCTCTGGCTGTTCACTGATCCAAATTACAGTGTAGGTCCATATTCTAAACTACATAAATACACATGAGTAAAGCAGAACTCCTCTACAAAGCAGTAGATTTCAGGCCAGGTGCTGGTCAAATGCAGGCCTAATGTGAAACTGTTTAAAGTAAGAAAAAGATGTACTGCAAACCAAAACTCTGCTTTCCACCCAGAGCCTGTAAACTGCTGAGATAAACAAAGCAACCAATGCGAAGGGCTTGGCTCTACAGCTTATTGTGTAGCAAATTCTTTTCTCATTAGGAATGTACAGTAAGTGCACATATCTGACACTGACCCTTAAGTCTAAATTTAGCATTTTAACAATGGAGTTCTGCACACTAAAACAGAATTTTCTGTCATGCAAGAACTTAACAAAATTACAACCTTTCCACTAACAAAAAGACATACACATACTGCAGGACACACAGGTATGCATGCATGAATGTTTACCTTGCCATCCTTCAGGACAGATGCAGGAGAAGCTCTGATAGTCCTCTGACTCCTGACACACTCCTCCATGCTTGCAGGGTTTGGAGCTGCATGGGGCCATCAAGGTGTCACAGTTCTCTCCTGCAGTGCACAAACACAACAACCCTTCTATTAAAGCACTTTTAATTAAATTAAAGTAATTTATAAACTGTTCAACATTAACTTTCACTGTGGTTATCATGTCAAGGACTTGGAGATAACCCAACCCAAATGGACAAAGAATCATCTTTCAGTCAGTGCTATCAGAAGATTTTAGCCAGGTTCTGTCAGTAATAAAGGGCTGCGGAGACATTTCCCTATCTGTTTCCACAACACAGTGCATACAGGAAGCCGGCTTGAGTTTCCGGCCATTGTGAAGCCATTTGCTGTTCTGTGAGACAGGAAGCAGGCAAACAGGAAATGTGTCAAACACCCAGTTCCCACCCTGGCACAAGCAAAAGCCTTTTACTATTCAAAGTCCTGCAGATTTTTTCCAAAAGACAATATTACAAGAAAATCTGTCCTCAGTCTTTCCATCCTTATCTGTTTGGTTAAATACAAAGTGAGATGACATGAAAATATTTCCAGCTCTCTTATCGGGGATACTTGTGTGTCACAGAGGAGCAGAGTGAGTCAGAGGTCTGTTGTCTCTGAGACCTGAGGAAGTCTTGCTGGTGAACTTCACTTGACAGTTGGCTCATCTGCCTCGTGTTTTTCCTCTTTGCCCAATAACTTAAAGTATACACAGGCTGTGGAAAATGTCCCCCCAGTAAGGAAATTCCTAAAAACCGAGCCAACACAAAGGCATAACAAATATTTCAATAATATTTTCATACCTGTGTAAGGCAGAATACAGTTGCACTTGTACCCTGCAACATCGTCAATGCACGTCCCCTGGTTGAGGCAGGGGTTGGAGGCGCATTCATTGATGTTGGTCTGGCAGTTCGGTCCTGTATATATATTACACACACCAATTTAAGTGAAGCTGAGAAGTCCAGCAGTGTGGAGAGAAGTGTGGTTTGGATGAGAAACACACTATGCACACTGAAACACTGACATGCACTTGTCCATGTGCTAACAAGAACTGACCAGTGAAGCCCATGCAACAGGTGCAGACGTAGCCGCTGGTCATATCCTTGCAGGTGCCTCCGTTCATGCACGGGTTGGACTCACACTCGTTGTTGTTGATGTCACAGTTTTTACCGCTCCAGCCAGAGTCACACAGGCATTTATAGCTGACAGGAAGAAAACAGGGTAAAGTCAGTCTGATGTATTCTTTTTACATAATTTGTTTCTACTTGAAGATTATCATCAATGGCAAATGGCATTTTTCCAAACGCTGGATGAAAAGACCCCAGTTTCCACTTCTTTGCAGTAAAGACTTCCAACAGTCAGCTCAGCTTAGCAGTGTGCCACCTACCACCACCTCTGAAGTTCACTAATCTAGGGTCATTCCTGACATCATACTATCTACTGTCTTGGGCCAGTTTGTGACCTTCTCACCCACTGATCTTGTCTTCACAGTGGCCATGGATGCAAGGATTGCTGAGGCACTCGTTGACCTGGGAGAAGCAGGTTTCATCATGGTAACCTTCTGGGCACACACAGGTGAAGCTGTTGATGCCATCGATACAGGTGCCGCCATTGTGGCAAGGGTTGATTGCACACTCGTCGATGTTAATGTTACACATGGTACCTACAGGAAAGGAGAGGATGGTTTGCTATACTTACAGTGTGTAATCCATTCACATAACATACTGATGTAGCATAGACATTAGGCCCCTTTTACCGGGGCACGTGCCCCAGTATTGATCTGCTGTGTCCCATTAAAATCACACCTTCCAGTTTTAACAAGCTCCAGTATTGGGCAGTACATTAATTTAGATTGATAATAACAAGAAAAGAACTGAATTGTTGTTCTTATCCAGAATTGCAAAATACAAGCTGAGGCACAGTGGTCAGGGTTTGTACACCACAGTGCACATGTATGCACACTGTGCACGTCGTACCTAGTACACTGCAGCACACATGCCGAAATCCATTTACTGGTGTGCGAAACAAAAGATAAGAATGGGCTGAGGTATGTAACAGCAACTGAATAAAGTTTTTGAATAATACAGATTATCTTATTTTGACTCAAACAAATGACTCCAGTAGATGGACATAAGAAAATTCTTTGGAGGAAGCCAAGAGAGGGAAGAAGTTCAGAGAGATGAGGGTGAGAGAGGTAAGACCTGCCTGTAGTTGGTAAACAAGGTAACGTTATTTAGCTAGCTAATACGTAACCAGGCATGGATGTTGAATGTGAATTAGAGCTCTGTACATCAATGCATATGATCAACTGGACAACTCTTAAAACTCTATGAATACTAAATAATACATCACACATAGCGGTCTATGTTAAGGCTGGACTATTCATTCTGCATTTAATTAATAGCCTGTAACCTAAAATATGATGCTCGTGTCACACAGACCAAATAGTGTTTGTTTTATGCATTTTTAACAAACAGGTGAACCTGAGGCGGGAAGGGAAAGTGTGGAGGAAGCTGTCTGTGGAGACAGGTGTGTAATTGGAGCATCAATATGTTATGTGACATGGATGTGGACAAGTGGGCTAAGCAAGGGAAAATCATATAGCACAACGTATAGCGCATTTCATTCATGCAGCAGACATTCAAAAAAAAATTGTGTGATTTGAGTAACGGGCAACCTGTGTGGCAGTACAGCTTTAGGTCTAGCCCCCCCCCCACCGATGCAGAGAGAGTGAAGATAATGGATTTTGAAATGAGTACAATCATTTCTGCAGGCAACTGTCTTCTGGACAATTCTGCACCCTATTTGAAGTTTTATTTTCAAATACACAACATCAGCTCAAGCAAAAACAGACAAAGCCATCACACAATGAAGGCTATATGTCAGTGTAGTGCATGTATCACTTTCCAGGAACATGAAGGCTTTTAAGTCCACCTTTGTCGGCCACTTGAAGCACTGACGCCATTCAGCCCGGTGCCACACATAGTATAAAGGCAGCCTATTTAGCTTTAAAGCAGGGACCAACATCCAAGCTTTTAAAAGCTCAACTTTCAAGAATCTTTCAGGGAATCTTTTCTCCAGTTCAAATCCCCGGTGATGGTGCCACAGTATGCGTGTGTGTCCTCTCTTTGTGAGGGAGGGCAGCTTGCCTGTCCGAACAGCAGCAGGATGGGGACAGGGTGGAGATGGAAAGTGATAGTCGTCGAGCCTCAGAGGAACGTGTTCGTTCACTTACCACCTGTCACGCTCCCCATCAGGAACACACTCCTTTAATCTTTAAACACTCATTTTGTCCATTGGTCACCTGAGACTGAAGCCATGTTTAACCTGTCTTAAATGAACTTTAAGATCTGCACTGATTTGACAGGCCTATGTGACCACACATCAAGTTTGACTGCTTTTCTTGAAATTTGGTATATAATAGACAATACTAATAATAAAAATAATAAATAATATCATTATACAGTATAGGAGTGCATGTACAAATGACTTACCAGTGTAGCCGGGTTCACAGGCACACTCGTAGCCATTGATCTTATCGATGCAGGTCCCATAGTCACAGGGATTGCTCTTGCAGTCATCAATGTTGATTTCACAGTAGTTTCCTGGAAGAAAATTGTTTTCTGTAACCTCAAACTCGAGAGACAAAGTTACACTTGTATCTTTTTTATAATGTGTGTGGTCCTTACCTGTGGTGCCCTTGGGGCAGCTGCAGATGTAACCGTTCTCTCGGTCCTGGCAAGTGCCCCCATTCCTGCACGGCTGGCTCAAACATTCGTTAATGTTGGTCTCACACAGCCGGCCGGTGTATCCAAGTTTGCACTGGCAGCTGAAGGAGGCCAGGCCATCGATGCAGGTCCCATAGTGGCAGGGGTCTGAGTAACACTCATTGATGTCTGTCTCACAGTGCTTTCCGGTGTAACCTGGGAAAAATGTAATGATGCATGGGTTCATGGCTTTCTCGTTTGTTAGCATAAGTGTTTGGTTTTCCTTTTACTCTGCTAAAACGGTCTCTTACAGTTTTTATTTTACAATTTCTGTTTTTGTTAAACCTGTTTAGTTTTGGTTAAAACATGTATACCTTCAGTGCACTCGCATGTATACTTGTTGGGCCCATCTGTGCACTTGGCGCCATTTTTGCATGGCGTGCTGGCGCACTCATCGAAGTCTGTCTGGCAGAGGTTTCCAGCGAAGCCTGGAAAAACAACAAGAGGGCGTTATTGTGTGCATGAAGGAGTCTGTGTGTGTGTACAGACATGGCTACTGTGTTCTCATCAGTTCAAAGCAGTACCACTCATAATCCAAAGCCCATGCTACAAGAGTTCTCAACAAATCAGAAATCTGCATGTTAATTAACAACAGCACAGCACTACAGGCTCTCTATTTTCCTTTTCACTTCTTTTCAGCACAGCTCCAAAAAGAGAAATGAGACTGGGGGCTGGGGGTGAATTCATTTTAAAAAAGGGGGAGAGAGAGGGGGAAAGAAATGAGGGAAGAATGAAACTTAGAAGGCCTCCTGACCAAGGTTGAGAGACAAAGGAGGGCCTGTCTGCTAAACGCAACGCCAAACTGAGCCTGATGCCTCTTTTGTCCGCCAAAACTTTTCCATCACAATGCGCATTCTCCCATCTTGCTCTCACCCCTTCTCTACTACCCCCTCCACTCGCTGCCTGCCTCTAAAAACAGCCACCTTGACCTTTGACCCTCCACTATTCAAACTCCTTGTCATTCAGAATCACTTAGCAGACATTCTCCGTTTTCCTGGAGTTATTCACATCTCAGCTATTTTCTTCTTCCTCAGTCACATGACAGTACAGTCCAAGGACAAGTAGGATGTTGTCTGATGAAGTGATAAAGACTATTTGCCCTCCCCGCCTTCCCACAGGAACACACAGGTGGCTTTAGCTAAGAAGACAGACTCAGTTGAGGCTAATCCAGTGAGGAAGTATTTGTGTGGCAGGCTGATATCTCCCAGTAGACTTTGCTAGAACCATTCACTGGTTTCTGACTTGGCCACAAGCACACACACCCACCCACGAGTGTGAGGACTACAATGTACAGACAGTGGAGACATGCATACATGTGTGTTTTCAGATACACAACTATGTAATTTACTAATGTTAGGCTATATATATAACTTTTTAAGCCATTAATAACAGCAACTTTTGGGCCACCAGTTTACAGATGAGCTGGGTTGTGAAAAATCCCTCTGGCTGAAGTTTATCATTACTCTGCAGGTATAACCACTAGAAGTCATCTAATTAGTACTTAATAGGTTGGTAATAAACAGATTATGGTCTAGATCCTGCAGATCCAGGATCATAGAGGGAAAAGGATCACAGCATCAACTGAGTCAGAGATAGTTTTCATAACGTGGCTGCTCAAACATTGTTCTTACTCATTGGGTAATCATTATTTAACCATTAATAAAGCCATTAGTTATGGAGCTGCCGTGATTTGTCGGCATAATTGATGACATTGATATCGAATACGATGTCGTAATGTAAAAAAAGATACCTCATTTTTATAATCTGTATAACTTTATTTTTAAGATGCTTCACTTCATTACAACAAATATTTTTTCTTCAATATCACTATGTAATTGCAGCATACTTACGTTAGTTGACGGTCGACTCTGGTCAACGGTACAGATTTAGAAAATCATGGTGGCTGCTGCAGAGTGCGAGTGCAATTCATTTGCAAAAGTGTTTCAGTGTAAACGTTTCCAAAGGCTTCAAATCTATGGGAGTACTTCAGATTATCAGACAACAAAAAGGTGGTTTGCACACTGTGCAAAGTTTCGTTGGCAGCGCTAGTTCTGTGCACAAGCACCTGAAGAGAACACACACAGGTGCTAATCTGGAAGATGAACAGCCGGAAGAGGCAAAACCACCACGAGTGTTGTCTATTCATGCTTATTAAATTACAATTAGTAGGCAGGGCTTTTTGATATGTTTTGTCCTTGTAGCTGCGAAAAACTCCACAAATCATAAAGTTGTCTGCAAGTATCTTTTTGGGGATAAATTAATCATTTAGACTAATTAGGAAAATAGCAGCACTAAAAACTTATACACCTTTTAGTTGCCTGAGCAGAATGTAGTAATACTTTTTTACCTAGATAGCTTATTTCAGTTATTTTATGGACTTGATATTGAGTTTTGGTAACTTTGGTGTTTGAGTATTTTATGTGTACATTTATCATTCATAAGTTATAAACATTTAGAGTAAAACAAAGATTGGAAAACAACACTAAACTCTTCTCTTAGCAGCACTGCCAATTTCCAGCAGTGGGAAAAAAGCTGGAACAAACCTCAGCAGTACAACTTGAGAGTGTTTATTTACCAGGACAAGATGGTTCTTCACAGTTCAGTTACAGTGCCCCAAAACACGCTCCTGACCGAAATCAAACAGGCTAAAAAAAATCTCTACTGAGGGATTTCTTACCCACATGTACATGTATGCATACAAACACAAAAGGTGAAGCAGAAATGCAAATATGCTCTAGGACACACATGCACATCCTGGACTTCAGCAGCCAAAAAGGGAATTATCCCCAGACTGCTGGAATCAGACATTTCATTGCCTCTCAGTGGGGTTTCCATGGCTATTCTATGTACAGAGATGAAAAGAGGGGACCCTCGCCTCAGGTCTGGCTTGCAACAGGGACAAATTTACATCTCAAGTAGGGTGATTAAAGCCCCTCCCCTTTTTTCACCCCTCCCTTCCTGTTTCGGCATAACGGTCTGTGCGCCCCACAACCACCACCCCTCCATCCACCCTGCCAAACCAACACTTTCACCACTGCCACTTTGTGCCACTTCCTCACATAACGCTCTCTCACTCTCACATAAAGTTTTCTTAGGCATTAAGCTCCTGTGTTCACTCCTCTCTATTAATTCTAAAGCTTCCTTGTTGGGGTGTCTTTCTTTCTTTCCTTCCATCTTTCCTCCTTCCCTCCTTTTATCTAAACAGGAGGAATCTTGCCTCTCTCCACCCAGGCAGCCTTTGATCCACCCGACTCAGAGCTTCGCTATTTTCCTCCCAGGGAAAAAAAAAATCACTTCCACCTCAATGATCCCACTGAAAGAATGCAAAAGAAAAAACACGTTGGGGCGTTTGAAGAACTTTTCTTCTTTTCTCTTTTTCTCTCTGTCCAAGATTCAATGGTTGTATTCCTTCACCCCTGGACAAAACTTCAATACCCTTGTCCAAATAGTGCAAATCTAATGGCATTTATGGAAAAAGCTGCCGCAAAACAACTAGCTCTCCCCAAAACAGACCGCATGGCCACCTCACCTGCCATCATGACAGAGAAAATGTCATTTAATGATGAGAAGTAGGAGCTCTACCTGCTAATAGTAACTCTTTCTTGTTCCAGTTCACAATCACATCTTGTTTAGATTCACATGTTTCTGCTCAGTCATCAGACTTTGTAAAAGGGATAAGAAACTTGTTTAAAAGGTTCAAACTTCCTCAAGCCTTTCCCTATAGAAAGACCCCCCCCAGCACCACCACCACCACCAACACCAAACTGCTGCGTTCGTTCCGGGCTACGCGGGCCTGCAGAAGCCTGCCTCAGGGCTGGGATTAGTGTCTGTCCAGAGAGGTGTTTGTGTGTGTTTGTCTTTGAGAGGAAAAGAGAGAGAGAGGGTGAGAGATCGACCTCCGTGCCCCCTGGCTCTGTGCTTCCTCCCTCTCCCTCCCTCTCTCCCTTCCCCTCCTCTGAAGCAGTAAAGGAGCCTCACCTGTGGGGCACTGGCAGTGGAAGGAGTTGATCTTGTCGATACACTTGCCGTTGTTCAGACAGGGGCTGTTGGCGCACTCGTCTGTATCGATCTCACAAAACTCCCCCTTGTAGCCTGGCCAATTAGCAAGGGAGGACCGGGAGGGAGATGGATTGGTTAGACAGAGACACACAGTGAGAGGCATTTTCACACTGCTGTTAATGTACTGCTGTAACAGATTCAAAGTCTACAGAGTGCCTAAATTAATACGAGAAGGACTGCAATTACCAATTACTTTTGGGCATAATCAATATGAAAAATGGCCATCATAATTTATATGAAGTTTAAGGTGAGGTCATTAAATTGCTTCTTTGATCCAACAGTCCAACATTGGGATATTCAGATTGCACACAACAAAGACAAGCAGCACCACCCTAAAAAAATGTTAAAATAAAATATCTTCTGCTTATTTTTCTCATGATGGACTAATCAATTAATTGTCTAACTGATTCACCAATAGTGAAAACACAATAACTGAATTAAAAATGGTATTAAACAAAAAGTAAATCAGCAAATATTCACATTTGAGATGTTGTAAAAAGCTTTCTTTGAGGTTTTATTCTTTTGATAACCAACCTAAAAAAAAATTATAATTTAGTCTCAAAAATGTCCATTTAAACATTTCCATTGGTTGACTAAACAATTAATCAACAAATACTTTCAGTATTAAATATAAACATAAAAATATAACAAATAGGTTAATTCGTCTATTCATATTAGGTGCCATTTGGATTATTCACAAGTTTCTAATTCGACTCATTTTAACAAAACTAATAAAATTACAGAGACACACTCTAACCGTCTCACCTGGCATGCAGATACATTGGAAGTCTCCTATCTGGTCCAGGCAGGTGGCCTCATTCATACAAGGGCTCGACATGCACTCGTTGATGTCCAGCTCGCAGCGCGGCCCCACGTAACCTCGCTGGCACTTACACTGGAAGGAACCCATGGTGTTTATACACTTGCCTGCATGCTCACACGGGTTGGAACCTGTTTAAACATGAATACTTTAACAGGCTGTCATGTATGTATAAGACCTAACAAGGAGCAATCTGACTGTAAAGACATGACAATGACATAATTTGTAGTTTACTGTTGTCTGATGCAGCCAAAACCAAAGCCTCAACTATGTGGGAATGCAGTAATAACACCTCTGAGGGTATTATTTACTGCGATTATGGGAGCAGTTACAGGCACTGAACTACCTGTAATACCAGGTAAGAAAAAGCTCTTATTTTAGCTCATATAAAAGATACTACATCATTTGTAGTGACTGAAGCTTTGCTGACAGAAATAACTCTCAATATCTACCTTTTATTGAACTCATCAGTACAGCTGATGTGTCTTCAATCAGTCAGATTTAAAGGCTGAAACTAGGCAACAAGTTGAGAGTTGGCAGGTCAGGTAGTGTGAGTTTTACCCAGTGCACACTCGTCGACATCCTGATCACAGGAAGCACCAAAGTACCCCGAGGGGCAGGTGCAAAAATGGTTTCCGCTGACAGGGTTGGTGTCACAGTTAGAGCCCTTCTGACACGGGTTGCTGATGCAGGCATCGTCCAGCTGGCACAGCAGACCTGGGGCAGAGTGCATAAGGCGGACTTGATCACAGTGAGCATCACTGCAACTGCAACCACCACTATTTCTGTTTTTCAGCCCTCTGGATTACAGTCATTACCTCGGTCTCCTTTGAAAGGAAACTCTTACATTTTACAATAAAAAATCTGAATGACAATAAAAAATAATGAACCAAAGTTACAGGAGCACAAATATGGTAGAAATGTTAAGTTGTTTTGTGTTGTCTACTACATATATCTAACAGGCAAAGGAGTATTACTATTAAAAGTTCCCATGTACATGTCGTACTCCAAACCATCACAGTATTTACATAAAAGATTTGGGTGTATTTGAGGAACAGAATGAAGGTTAAAAAAACATTCCTCTAGTATACCTGTGCGGCCATGGAGGCATTCGCAGTAAAATGAAGCTACACGGTCGTGACAGGTGGATCCGTGGTGGCATGCAGCACTGGCACAGTCATCGATGTTCTCACTGCAGTCGTCCCCAGTCCAGCCATTCACACACACACATTGGTAGCTGCCGTAGGTGTTGTGGCATGTGCCGCCATTTTGACAGGCGTTGGGCATCAGCTGGCACTCGTCAACATCCTCTGTGCAGAGCTGGCCTGTGGGGGAACACGTCAGAGGATTTCAACTATGTACTATCTCAAAACTTTCTTCTTTACCTTCCTGACAAACGCCTTTCACAGACTCACTTTATTCTGACTTTAACTTCTTAACTATATGTACTGGAACATCGCTTTACAAACCTGTAAACTCTGGCCTACACTGGCAGTTGTAGGTGTTGACACCATCAACACAGGTTCCTCCATTCTGGCACTCATGACTTGGACAGTCATCAATGTTGTGGTTGCAGTTTTTACCAGTAAAACCTGAAACAAAGGCAGGATTATAAGCAACAGACTGGTGAATATGTTACAGTGTGTGTTTACTTTGATTTCACAGTGTCATTTGTCTAGTGGAGGTTTCAGTTACTTTCATTTCTGATGGTTTGAAAACAAAACAAAAGGGAGCGAAACTTCTCTACAGTTAAATGTGGTCAACTGTCTTTTTCCTCCAGAGGAAGAAGGCAGCTGTATGCTCTGAGGTCTGTGGCATCCTCACCATGTAATAATATCCACTCTGCCATGCAGACACAGAGAGGCAACCACTAGACTGTACAAGTGAAAATCAAAACCATTGCATGTCATCACTACCAGGAGTTTAAGGCGTACAGCTAAAAACCTATTGTGGATTCTAAAAACCAGTATCCAATATGTTGCACAAGCCTTATAGGAGCGTCAAACATTTCTGCAGTTCTGAAGTATGTTCAGAAAAAGGACTTAGAATTATCATCATCATCATCAACATTACTAGTATGAGACAAACAAGGTACCCTGTCCTGAATAACAAACATACAATCAAATGACCTCAAATGGATTTCTGTCCTCATGATATAACCACCAACTGTTGATCAGCAGAACAGTGTGAAATCACCTGCAGCCAGATGCTTATGTGTCAGAACATAATAGTGACATGTCTTGCTTTTTGCAACTAAGTGTTTCTAGATGACTTTAGGTTGGATCACCACAGGAACCTCTCAGGATGTAGCTGGTGACTTATCACAACTATATAATATGTTGTTGACTCACTTATTCTTTGAAGCGTGCATCAGTGATATTGTTCCCCGTGTACAGTATATGCAAAACAGTCTGGAACTCAAACTTAGATTGAGACATTTTTCTAATATAAGATTTTCCACAACACATGCATGTGTCCTCATTCACATGTACATAAAATGGGGAATCCAAGGGTAACCTTAAGGAGCAACAGGATCAGCTAACTACCAAAAGGTCCTAAGTGTAATATACAGTGGGAGATTCTCCTTAGTATTTTTCAAGGAAAATTTTGTTATGCAAGCACAAAAAGAGTAAGTCAAAGGGGTGGCAGGAAAAGTCACCACACACAGACATTCATTACATGGTTTCTCAGTGGAAACAGACAAACACAAGGCAAGGTTAGCCTGTATAGAGGTGATGGGGTAAGAGCACGACTATACTCCCAGCAAGCTTTGCTTCATTCCGCTACGTGAAAAGGATGTTGTCCTTTGACCATTTCCTTATGATAAGCCCCAATGCCTTCCTGCTCTCCATGTTCACACACTGTGCACACCAAAGCAGAGACACACACACACACACACACACACACACACACAGGACACAGCATAAGCAGGAACAGCCCTGCCTTAAATGACATCATCATTCCCACTGACATTTAAATTCCACTTGAGAGACTTCAGTGCATATAGAAACCAAGGGACGCGTCATTAATGTGAGCATACAACTGACAGATCTGATTTCCTGCATATTTCCACCTTAGAACTTTTTCTAAATCTGACTTTTCTTCTTCAGAACTGGACACTCTTGAAAATAGCACAGCAAAAGTCATGCTCCCATGTTTGTGAAACATTTGGGTCTGGAGGCCTGGTGTAGTGACCATTTGCATTGCTGGTCAGCAAGACAGCTGAAGCTACATTCATCAATCCATTATCTATACCACTTGTCCTGTAGAGGTTTTCAGGGAGTAAAGCCAATCCCAGCTGACACTGGGCAAGGGCTGGAGCACACCACTGCTAACCACTGCACCACTGTGCACTTGGTAACAAACTGCTACAAATGCATAACAGAAGTCTTACAGCTTCAAAACAACAGGACTGGACATCAAAAAACACTTTGAAACCTCCTCTAATGTAACCATGAGGTAAGTGTAATGTCCCTACCTGGCACACAGGAGCACTCGTAGATGGTCTCTCCCTTCTGGATGCAGGTGCCTCCATTATGACAGGGTGATGGGTTGCAGGGCAGGTAGCGGCTCTCGCAGTGCTTGCCCGTGTACTCTGGTGGACACTGGCACTGATACCCGCCCACCTCGTTGATGCACACGCCACCGTTTTTGCAGGGTGACGGGTTTGCGTCGCACTCATTGACATCCTGTTTGCAGGTCTTTCCAGAGAAGAATGGTGTGCAGGCACAGATGTAGTGGGACTCAATGGCAGAGCACTTACCACCACTGGCACATGGATTTGAGGCACAGGGGTCGGCTTGTTGGCACAGTTTACCTGAGGACACAGAGAAATTAAGGCTGTGCTAGCAGCACCTGAAGTTAAAACTACTGCTCTGCTGTCATAACAGTGCTGGGTGTTACCTGACCATCCAGGTGGGCAGTGGCACTTGTACGTCTGGGGACTCTCATGCTCACAGGTGCCTCCGTTGCGACACGGCGAGTTGATGCAGACATTGCTGATGGGCACCTGGCAGAGGCGGTCACTGTATCCTGGTCTGCAGGTGCAATTGAAGTCCACAGTCCCCCCTTTGAACACGGGGTGACACGTGCCGCCATTCATGCATGTCGAGGTTATGCACGGGTCCTGAAACTGGCACCTGTTTCCTAAGTATCCATCTGGGCACCTGGGAAAAGACAAATAGCAGCAGCTAAGAGAAGAGGAATGTGGAGAGTGCATCCTCATAAACACAGTCTGACTTTCTGCAGATTGCAGAATAAATGTGTCACAGTTACAAGGATAGGAGCACTTTTCTTTTCGTTATATAAGAATCTAATGTTCCCTCCAGGCATTTCTCTTTTAAATCATGAAAAAACTTCTAAAACTGTCACGTTGAGGCCATAACATACTGTATTTCAACTAAGGCGATACCAGCACTAATAAAACTGTGGAACATTTCTTACTTTTATTAAAAACAACAAATAAACTCAACATAGAAAGTGCATTACATCAAACGTCTGACTTCTGTTTACACAGCAAGCTATTCAGAATGTTTCACAATGAAGAGGATGCACAGGATGTGCTAAGTTTAAAACAATGACAGGGGTTAAAATAAGGACAGCTCACTATTTAACAAATTATTACACTGTGCATAGACAAATAATAAGCAATTCATAAATCTAGAGTAATTTAAAGATGACTGGTAGAAACGTTGTGCTGGCTGATATGTTGAATGATTAGTTAGATGTCAGCTGTTATTAGAGTATTATATAGAGTTATTAGATTAGGAAGAGAATCACATTGTCAGAATTTTGAGAAACTCAGTTTCTAGTGCAGCCCTACTCTTGAGTCTGCAGTGAAAACACCAAAATTCTCAGAAGATAATCCAGTCTGACCCCCTTGTAGAGGTTAATCATACCACACACATTATGAACTATGATTTAATAAAAACCTTTTATCTGCAAGTGATATTTTATCTACTAATAAACGTCCGTTCTTTCACCTCATTTAAAATTAGCATCACAAAGAGTAGGACCAGTCAAAGGGAATTCCTAAATACTATTTTCACCAGTCCAATCTTTCTCAGCTCAGCTCTAACTGAAGAGTTCACAAGGGTAAGACCACGCTGCTGACCAGCAAGGGTCATCCCTTTGTGTACTGTGCTTATAAATTAACTGCTTGGGTTATTGCCTCTATCAAGAGGATTAACTATCCATTTCTCTTAAACGATGACCCTGCACTGCTGTTTTTACCACACGGCAACACAGCCATGAGAAACTATGCTTTAAACGTGACATTCATCTTTCTGCCATCATGCCCCGTGAACAATGCGTTTGAGGCTGTAAAACAGAGTGGCCTGCACAGAGGGAGGAGGGGGATAAACTCTGTGATGTTTCTCATAGGTTGTGTCTGAGTCATAAACGCCGCTCAGACGCCAGTGAATATGTTCCCAGAGCTGCTACAGATCACAGGGACACATTCACACATTTACAATTACAATGAGAAGAGTTGAAGGGCGTCCCCTGAGAATACGCATGGCTCAATAAAGGGGCCACACACACAGAGCGTGCACACACTCATACCTATAATGTGCAGTCTTTTGCACACACACACACACACACAGTACTGCACGTCACGCTCAATCAAATCAAACTGCAGTGTTGAGACTAGAGCAGAAACATTACTGCCAGCAATCTTAATATTTGAAAAATAGTTTAAGCCATCTATTAAAAAAAAAAAAAGCCAAAAAGCTCCTTGTTCAAGCTTCTTTATGTGATGATAAGCTGCCTTTCTGGTTTTATCATTGTAAATTTTTATTTAATCTGTGGTTTGTGGTGGACATTTTTTTATATTTCTCTACCGATACCAACATGATCCCTTATGTTTCTACAAAACCATTTTGCCATGTGACAACAAAAGCCAGACTTCTGAAATATTAAATGTTCTCTCCATGCAAGCAGTTGTGCAACAGCTTTTCCAGCTATAAGAAATTATGTTTTAAATCAGTAAATATCTGATTAAAGAACATCAGTGTTAGCACTAGTACTAGTTTCAGTACAAAAAAGTAATGAGGTCCAAACCCAAAGCTTAATGCAGCTCTGTTTGACACCAAAACCACCCAGACCTGCTTCATCACACCCTCCCTACCTCCACATTCCCACATTCATCACCTTCAGAGATCCAGTACTGTTCTCAGCAGCAGTGGGTGGCCAGGGAGGCTTGGCCATTACAAAAACAACACATCTGCTCAATAGCGCTGGATACAAGAACTGCAACAACAACACTATAATCTTGGTCCTTATCTGTTCAACCATTTAGTCAGCACTCATTCAGAGGTGCAGCCAGAGGGTGGATTTGGAGTTTAACCCCTCAATTACTTTATAGTCCATACTGTATTATGCATAGCTTTTGAGAAGGCACTACAACAATGCACCATACAGAACGTGATATTAACATGGAAGTTAGTTCCATCCTCTTTGATGGTAGTGGTGTAACGGATCCTCTCCGTGGTTTGGCATACAGATAAACCACTGTCCCTGGCACTTCAGTTTCAGGCAAGTGCGAGCTATCGGTCTGCACAACAGGGGACACTAGCTTTTCCTCATCAGGAACCTAACGAGACTTTACAGGTCTGACATGGTGGTTGCACCATGGGCAAAGTCATGGAGTCAAAATTCTATTTGTCCCCCCTTTTAAGTCTTTATTTATTCTGCTGATGCTAAAAATTTACTGATCCAAAAACCATGATAAGATCCAAACAGTAGGTTTTGTGAACTGTTCCACCCCTATTTCATGGACAGACTTTTTAAATTTCCTTAAAATTAATAAAACTGATGACAGTTTTTAAATTCATATTATTAAACAACCCTACCTCCACCTTGAACCCCCCCGCCCCAAATTACAAATAAAGTCCCCTGTACTCATTCATCCCGAGGACAAGGCGGCATCTGAGCCGCAGCGTTTGAGCTCCAAACCAACATTATGGAAACTTCAAAGCGTCGTGCCACCACCTCAATACTCTTTATTCTTCTCTCCCCAGAGAGGATTTGCCCCAGCATCTGACACGGGATGGGAACAGGATGAAACAGAAGAGACTGTGGTGCAACCTCTGTCAAGACACATGAAAGATTTCTGAAAAGTGAATTCCGACACAGAGGAAAATTACACAGCGACAGCTAGAAAGGCGTTCTTTGGCACAAACTTAAACAGCTCTCGCTGAATACTGATGTTTTACTCTCACACAGAATCAATATTGTGCATAACATGTCCTCCCATGACATTAACACCCACTATCGCTATCAAATACATGACCAGAGTCACCAAGTCTGTTAGCCCTGAGGGGCTGGCAGGACAATGTCCCCAAACATTCTCAGGGGGCCCAGTGTAGGTGTGTGTCGGCAGGGGCCAAGCCGTGGCCCCTCTGTGGGGACGGACGTGTGTTTAAACAGGGTCTCCCTCTCAGGGGGATTACGTGGCCTTAGGCCTGTGGCAAGGAAAAGAAAACATCACATGCTAGGGTGCCCGCTGCGTAAACAGCAGTAGTGAGTGGTGGCATGTCTGAGTGGTGTTCAGGGATCACTGTAGCATTAAGGTCAAACAAGCAGCAATGTCCGGATCTGAAAACCAAATCTCATTAAAATATCTGTCTTTCTTTACAAAATCGTAGTCATGGGCTTTACAAACTGCAACATGAGACACCTTTTATCATGAGATTCTTCATTCAGGCAAAAACACTTTCGCACTACTGATATACTGTCGATACACTAAGTGAACTCTGACAGGAAAAAAACTTTGCAGAGGGGGAGAGGCACCCTGATTGCTCAATAGTTATGGAGCAGCGCACCGTGTACACGTGCACAGTGCAAGTGTTGCTTAATAGTTGTTCCTAGGATGAATTCTGAGATGCACTTTAAAAAACATCAGTATTTATCTAATGTAATAGAGTCATTAGAACTGAACTGAATCAAAATAAACTAAATCCAAATGAATCTTGACTTATTTTAGAGACCAGTACCGATATCCAGCCTCTGCGTGCAAGTTTCAGTGCAGAGAAGCTGCAGATCTGGCTGCCAGAAGACCAGTCCAGTTAAGCCCCACCAGTGGCGAGTGCTGGGGTCGTGAGGCGCCACACGAGCTCACTGGAAAAAGGCCGCAGGGAGCAGGTGCGCATGTTAATGAGGAAACAGCAGCTGCCGCCCCCGGTCATTCACCCCCTCCTCCACATCTCCTGTATCCCTTATCCCATGACTCTGCTTCCTTCCTCTCCATGTCACCCCAACACACTGCTGTCCTCAAACCTAGAAAGAGAGCATGCACTCCTAGAAGTCAGCTTCCTAACTTGTGATTTAGTCTGCATTAGCCATTTTTAGGGGTGTTTTTCACATTAACACAACTGAGTTAATTTGTGGTGAAGAAAGATTTTGAGAATTGTAAGAAAATGATCCATCTATAAAGAGCATTTAATAAAATTCAGTTTCAAACCAATAAAAATAAATAAAAATGTGAAAAATATTTCATGAATCAAGATAACTGGTGTTGAATATATTGTTAGATCTTTTTCTTTAGACTCACCAATGCTTCAAAGGACATGTTGAGTTGGACATTTTTTATAGTGTTAGTAATTTGAATGGCTTAGCCCCACCACCCTCCCCTAACTACTTAGCAGAGAAATGAAGAGCAAGAGGGGAGGGGAAAAAGAGGGAGCGAGAGAGAGCAAAGGATGAGTGGGCCCATTGTTTTTCCTGCCCATTCAGAGCTGGCCACAGACCGGGCGTATTCAGCTGTTACTCCTCCTCTTTCCTCTCCCGCCTGTCCTCGTTCTCCCTCTCTGTCTCCAAAAAAATCTTTCATTCTATATGGCTCATCCCTGAATTTTCCCTTCTTTTTCTAATTACTGGTTTCACTTCCTCCGTTCAAAGCTGTATGGTTGTTGGCATCCGCTCGCTCCCTTCTATACACCTTCTTTCCGTCCCACCCACCCCGCTCCTCCTACAACCCCGTTTCTTTTCATTTCTAAGACACCACATTAGAATCTGTCAGTCTCAACTGACTAATGCTCACTCCTCCAGAACTTTCTTCCAAGTTAGTCTTAGATGTTCTGTAACTTTTTGTGGTCTGCAATGTTTGAAGCCAAGCATGGAGCAAAGGAGAAAGCTTAAAATCCAAAACACACACAAGCAGTGGGAC